GTCAAGGAGGAGGTGGTGGCCAAGGGCCGTGGGCGTGGTGGGCTGCAGCAGCAGAAGCAGCAGCGGGGCCGCGGCCTGGGCAGCGCGGGGCGAGGTAGGCTCCAGGATGCGGGCTCTGAGGCCTGCAGGTGGGCGATGGGCCACATGGGGTTGGCCCTGGGGTCACCACAGAGAGTTCTCGGGCCAGGGCTCTCACCAGCCCTGGGCTGAAGTGTGGGGAGGCCTGGGTGTTTGCCTGACTGCGCGGGAAGGCCCTAGGGGGAGGCGGAAGGGGACGGCCAGCTGGCACCCCGTGGCATCCTGGCCTAGGGAGCTGAGGCGTGTGGCACCCCTTGGGGCTCCTTAGTCCTGCCCTCCCCACCCCCCACGCCATCCTCCCTGCCACCCCTGGGCCAAGTGCATGCATCTGGTGCCCCATGGCCATAGCGAATCTGGGCTCCATGCGGCTGCTGCAGCCCTCTGTGTCCTCCTGCAGGAGTGTTTGGCGGCCGGGGTCGTGGTGGCCTACCGGGCACAGGCCGGGGACAGCCTGAGAAGAAGCCAGGAAGACAGGCGGGCAAGCAGTGAGGGTTCCTGCCTCAGCCAGGCCCTGGGGCCTCCACACTGCAGCAGAGGGAAGAGGAGAAGCAGAGGGGCCCCAGCAGACGCTATCTCGGGCTGGCCTCCCCTTAGGCAGCCGTTGTACCCTGGTGTGTCATTGGGACTCCTGTTTTGTGACTTTGCTGTCCCTGGAGTGGGCTGGCATTTTGGAAGACAGCTGGGTTTAAAGCATCTCTCCAGCCCTTGGGCCTGTGGTCGTGGCCCCACCCTGCTATGCTGCAGCAGCAGCTGAGAGGCTGTCTTCCTGCACCCCTCACTGACGCCTGGAGCCTGCTCCCTCCTGCTCCCCGTCTTGCGAATAAAGCCCCTGCAGTTCCAGACTCAAGCTGCCTGTCCCTGCCTTGGGGCAGGGCTGGTCCTCTGAGTGCTTCCCTCCCTGGCTGCCCAGCTCTTAAGCAGAAGTGGCCCACAGTCTGCGCCCCACTGAGGGTCCCTGTCGCGTCCTGCACAGGTTATTCTTTGGGAACCTGGGGCTGGCTGGGCCTGGACTGGTGTCTGCCTCTCATGCTGGTGCCACCATCCTGAGGTTGCCTCACAGGAGCTGTGCCCAGGGCTGGGGCGGAGACTCCTGATGCCCATGTCACAATGTGGATCCATGGTGGGTTAGCACTTCCGGGCATCATGGGAACTAAGGAGGGGGGTAAGACCAAGATGGTGCAGCCCCTCACTGGTCCCCAGGATGCCCTCGCCCCCAGCCCCATGCTGACCTTGTCCTGGCTGGGTGTGTTGCTGTAGCTGGGCATTGGCACCTTGGACAGCCCTTGGGGAGGGACAGACAGGGTCTCAGGGTCTGCACAGGCAGGCAGTGGGTGGCACATGTGGGCCTCTCGCCACCTTTTTTTTTTTTTTTTTTTTTTATTTTAGGGAAGGGTCTCCAGGGTGTTCAAATTGAGGTAAAGATAATCCATTGTGATTTTCGTTTAGTTTTTTTTTTTTTTTTTTTTATCGTGGAACCAGGGGTTGAACTCGGGCACTTGCCAGGCAAGTGCTTATTCTACTGAGCTGCCTCCCTGGCCCCTTCACACCACCTTCTAGGAGGGCATGGAGCCCTGGGAGGCTGGGCCGGTGGTGCTCCTGCCCCAGCACCCTGCAAGGGCCGGCTCTGATGGCCACCTTGCCGTGATCCCGTGGCATAGCTCCTGCCACGCCTGCCTGTCTTGGCCTGCCCTTCTGCCCTTCCTGGCCTGCCCTTGGCGTGGCCCACCAGCGCTGCACACCCTGCCTGCTGTGCCCCGTGGGGTTCAACAGCTTCCAGAAGTTTCTGTGGTCTTGAGCCTGGCAGGTTTCAGGAAGTCAGCCACCCGCCAGCCAGAGAGAAACCAAGAGTCACCGCCCACTCCTGAGTCTGCCTCTGGGGCTGTGCAGCCAGCAGGCCCGTGGGCCCTGGACACTCCATCCATCCCCAGGACACAGCCTCCTGCTGTACTGCGTGCCCTGCTTTGTCACCAGGTTCTCGTGAGGGGGAGGCAGTGCTCCCAGCTGCAGTGACCCAGCCATCCTGTTGCCCTTGTGCTGGGCACAGGTGCAGAAGCACCCCTTCCCTGCTCACACCCCTCCCCTGCTCGTGCCCCTCCCGTGGCCAGGCCTCAGTGGGCCCCTGCTACATTGGCAGCGTACATCCCGCAGGTCCCCTGCCACCCCTTGTGAGGTGATGGTGTTTGGCCTGGGGTCCACAGCAAGCACAGGCAGCCTGGTGGGGGCTGAAGCCACCCACTCTGTCCCAGTGCCAAGTTGAAAGAAAGGGGGAGGGTGGGCACATGGAAATTCAAGAGGTGGTCGGGAAGCGTGGCTGCAGGACTTTGTAGACAGCAGTGCAAAGGCCCCATGGCCAGTGGACACAGGAGCGTGAGGGACGGGACCTGGGAGGAGGAGGAGGCTGGCCATGTGGGATGGCAGCCCCAGAGGGCCGGGCTCCACTGGGAACATCCTGCCTCAGCCTCCCCAGAGCACAGGACCACAGCACACACCCACACAGCTGGTCTTCAGCTCCTTTTCCTGGTGGCCTGAGGCCGACTTGACCTTCAGCATAGTTGTCATGGCTGAGGCTGAGGCCTGTGCTTCCACCAGAGCCAGGGAGCGGTCCTTGGGCCCTTGGCAGCGGGGTTGGCTGCTATGGGGTGCGGAGATCCAGTCTCCCTGCTGGAAACTTCACCCCAGGGCTCAGTGCAGCTGAGTGGTGCCCCAGGTTCTGGCCCAGTGTGACCAGGAGAAAAATCCCCATCTGTAGCGCAGGCAAGACTAGGGCCCTGTGAGGTGCTGGGGAGCTGATAACCCCGCCTCAGTTTCCTTGCCAGTGGGGAAAGCTGGCTGTGCCTCGCAAGGGTCGTTGGGGTGGTCAACAACCCTTGCAAGGCACAGCCAGGCTTGGCAGAGGAGGCCAAAGTGGGCACCCACCTGGCACACATACAGCAAGTGCTCAGTGTACGGTGGGAGCCAGTGTCAGTGCCAGCTTGTGGGCAGCGAGTACTCAAGGAATGCACAGCGCAGACCCAGGTGAGGGCCAGCCTGGTGTGCGGCACAGGCCCCAGAAGTGCACCACGCATGCCTGCTGGGAGCCAGCCCGTACACAGCAGGTGCTCCATAAGTGCACAGCGCCTTCCAAGAGTGGCAGCTCGAGCAATCCTTGCCAAAGCTCTGTCTCTGGCCTGAGTCATGGGGGGTGGCAGTGACTTCTTGGGCAGGGGGACCCTGGGGATTTCCCCACTGGCCTTCCCTCCTCATGGCCACCATCCTCTGTGTCCCATGGCCACAACCCCGCATTGTGAGCCCCTCGTGGCCGGGCTGTGTCCTCTGGCCGCAGGATGACTCAGCCTGCTCCGCCTCTGCTGGGGCAGCTGGGAAATAGTCACAGGCTCCTCCTGGGAGTGGCCGAGGAAATACTTGAGCGCTGCCTTCAGCGCCTGAAAATACTTGCTTTGTCCTCTGGCGTCACCCTGGAAGCTCCTCCTCCCTGCGTGGCACACAGGCCAGGACCTGACAGGAGTGTGTGTGTGTGGGAGCCTGGGCTAAGGGCCTTGTCCAGGTGACTCTTACTGCTTACTACTGTCCCCTGAATGTGTAGGGCACAGTGGCATGCCCTCATGATCCTGGCTACTCTGGAAGCTGAGGCAGGAGGATTACAAACTCAAGGTCAGTCCCAGCAACTGACCTTTTCTCTCAACAAAAGGTAAACAGGACTGGAGGTATGGCCCAGTGGGGGTCCCCATCTCCAACACAGCCCCCTGCAGCCCTCCCAGCCCTCCACTCTTAACTCCATACCCTTGGCCTTTCTGGGCCCCATGGCAGGCAGGCAGGCAGGCAGGCAGGCAGGGGCCAGGGCCAGAGGATCATTCTGCACTTCAGATACTGGTCTCAGTTGTCCCTGGCCCAGGAAGGGCAAGAGCAGGTGCCAAGGACCTGAGGCAGGTGCAGGCTGGGTGTGTGAGGCCTGCAGCCAGGGACGCTGGCACAGCCTGGCACCCAGCCGCCCGTGCCTCCTCCACCTTCCAAAGGATGAGTCATCCCACACAAACTGGCAGCTGCCTCCCTGACCCCTGGTCTTTCTGCTTAGGAAGTGTTTATTTGCTTTTCTGTTGTTTATTTCTGAGGTAGGGTCTCACTATGTAGTTCAGTCTGAGCTTGTGCTCACTTCATAGCCCAGGCTGGCCTCCAACTTGCAGAGATTCTCCTGCCTCAGCCTCCTAGGCTGGAATGTCAGGTGTGTACCACCCACACCCAGCTTTGAAAATTAACCGGTTTTATTTTGAGATGGCATTTCCCCATGTAGATCAGACTGGTCTTTTTTTTTTTTTTTTTTTTTTTTGTACTGGGAATCAAACTCAGGATCTTGTACTTGCTAGGCAGGCCCTTATGCTGCTAAGCTGTCTCCCCAGCCCTTCAGGCTGCCCTTAGACTTACTGTGTAGCCCAGGCTGGCCTCAAACTTGTGAGGATCCTCCTGCCTCAGCCTCCCGATTTCGGGGGTTACAGTTGTGTACCACTAGGTTTGGTGAAAATTAATTTTTTTTTTATACCAGGAATCAAACTCAGGACCTTGCGTTTGCCAGGCAGGTGCTATGCCAAGTGGTGCTGAGGACCCCACCGCGGTCCCCTGCGCCTGCCTAAGCAGGTTATTAAGACCACTGAGCTATCTCCCAGCCAATTTTATTTTATTTTTTTGGGGGGGGAACCGGGGATTGAACTCAGACCCTTGCGCTTGCCAGGGAAGCGCTTATTCCACTGAGCCATCTCCCCAACCCCAAATTTTATGTTTCTGAGACGAAGTCAGGCTGGCCTTGAACTCAAGGCATTCCTCCTGCCTCTCCACCTCAGTGCTGGGATGACAGGTGAGCACCCCTTCCAACTAGCCATCTTACAGCTCAGAATACCTAGCACCCTCCTGCGCTCAGCACGCTGTCTGCATGGCACCCTGTCCCCTCTGCCCTGGCCTCCTCAGGCCTTCCTGTTAGGACTCACCTGCCCTGGGCGCGTCCTAAAAACTGGATCACTCACCCTGTGCCCTGCCTCCAGCTTCTGACACCCTGCTTCTCCTTATTCTTATTTCATTATTTTGTTTTGTGGTGCAGCAGGCACAGAACCCAGGGCCTCACACATTCTAGTAAGCGGACACTACTGAGCCTTGCTGGGCCGTCCCTGCAGCCCACTGGCAGGTGCAGCTCTAGTCCTGGATCCTGTGTGGCCGGGGAAGCAGAGGGCACCTGGCCACTCCCTTGGCCTGCACCCCGGAGCTGGGAGCAGGGACATGGAAGAGCCAGGTATCCTCCGAGCAGCAGCTGTGCAAAGACCCTGCAGCAGCAGAGCTGTCCCTGTGAGGGACCCCACTGCAGCTGCTTGGGGCAGAAGTCGGGATGCAAGCAGGGCCCTGGGGGTGGTCCAGGACGGGCTGGGCGGGGAGATGGCCAGACCGGCGTCCACGGGGGTCTGGAGGCCGATTCGGAATGGCTCGGGGCCTCCTCACTTCTCCTGCTGTGGACGCTCTCCTGGCCTCAGTGCGGACAAGCGCCACCCAGGGGCGTGGCTCCAGGCCCTCCTTGGGAGGAGCCTGGTGGGCGCGACCTCTCCGACTCTGCCAGGCCCTCTGCAAGGCGGCTGCGAGGTGCGGGTGGGGGCTGAGGCTAGGTGGGTACCAGAGGCTGCTACCTGCCTATGGGGCTGAGTCAGCGTCGCCAGGGCAACCCGGGCCCTGCCGGATGTTCCTGCGGGCGCGTCCCTGTCCCCGTCACCGCAGCCACCGCTGTCACCACCGCCACCTCCTCGCAGGGGGCAGGGGAAGTGGTAATTTTTACTCAGGTTTCGGACTGTGTCCACGGCAACCTCGATGTTCCCTGAGAGGGGGCTGGGCATGGGCCAGGCAGGCCTGGGTTGCTGGGGGATGACAGGGAAACGGGCCACCTTGGGAGATGTGGGGAAACCAGCGTGGTCCCCAAACTCGAGCTTCCCGTGTGCTCTAGGTTCTAGACGCTCGTGGGAAACGGAGGCAGGGTGTAAAGCCCTCAGATCCCTCTGCCCTCGGCCCCACCCCTACTCCAGGCCCCGCCTGAGCCATTCTCCCGCAGGCCTGGAATCAGAAAGGAGCCCGGGGCCATCGTACATACCACAGCAGCCCAGAAGCTGTGCCCTCGGGCACGCGCCCCACCCCTCTGCTGCTGTGCTGGGCCCTCCTTCGGGCTGTTTCCCCACCTCAGGGACACGGTGGGGGTGACTCGGGAGTCGTCTGTCCTCGCACACACTGATCTGGTATCAGTCCTCCGTCCCCGTGGCCTGATGGTGCGCAGCCAACGAAGCTGGACCTTCTGCCACACAATCCCTTTGCCAGTGAGCTGCTGTCTCCCTAATTTGCCAAACTGGCCTTGCTTTTCATGCCTCAGCTTCCCCAACAGCTGCCACAACAGCGAGGGTCGAGGCGTTTAGTTGGGGTCGTGTCTGCACCCCAGGGTTGTGTCCTGTTGGAATGCCTGTCGCCTACCCTCCTCCTCTCTGTCCCCCACTATCTCCCCCCTCCCCCAGGATTCTCTCCGTCCCCGCGCTAACTGGGCTGGGCTCCTAAGGGAGCCGGATCCAGACCCAGGCCCACCGCGGCCCAGGCCGGCGGGGACGAGGTTAACCGGGGAAGGGACTCCCTGCGCAGCCCCGCCCCCAGCCCTGCGTTTAATTAGCAGCCGGGGCAAGGGGGGAGGGGCAGGGAGCCCGGAGCCGCCCGGGCTGCGCCCCTCCCAGGGCCCCGGCGGGACCCCGGCAGGCACGCACGTGGTCAGCCGCCTGGGTCGGGCCGTTCACGCCGGGGTTCAAGCCCGCTTCCCCTCAGGAGAGGGGTGGAGGATGTATGGGTGCAGGAGCCAGAGCCGGCGCCCGGGGGTGCTGAGCTCTCCGGGCCACGCCCCACGCCTCAGTTTCCCCCAGCGCGGCCCGGGCAGCCGTCCGGCCCCAGCCCGCGCCGCGTGGGTTGCGGCCCACGTCCGTGTCTACGCGGCCGGCCGGCGCTGACGTCTCCGCTGACGCAGGCGGACCCCGCCTGGCTCCACACCCCTGCCGCCAGCGCGCCCCGCTGCCCCCCACCGTCGCCCGTCGCCGGGCTGGGGACCCGCAGCGCCGCCCCACCCGGGGAAGTGAGACCGCACCTCCCGCGCTTCCTCCTGGGCGGGCTGTGTTCCCCGGGGGAGACTGGGTCCGGGGCTGGGGCCGAAGCAGCCTCCCCGCCGCCCGCGCGGGGGTGGGGGCGGCCCTCCTGGGCTTGGGCCCCAGCGCCGTCCCAGTGCCCCAGCAGAGCCCCGGCGGGGCGTGCGGCCGCGCTCTGATCCCCACAGCCGCGGCTTCGGCCCAACCCCCGCTGTCCAGCCAGCCAGCGGGCCTGTGGAGACAGAACTGAACCGTCCCCGAATTTCCTGGTACAGAAATCGAGCTTAAGACGTCGTGCATGGGGCCGAGGAGATGGCTCAGTAGAATAAGCACTTGCCCGGCGAGCCCAAGATCCGGAGCTCAATCCCCGGTACCGGAAGAAAAAAAAAAAAGACCTCGTGCTTGCTACGCAGGCACCTGTGCCACTGAGCCTCATTCCGGCTTCCCACCCCCTTTTTTTTTTCGGAGAGGTTTGACATGGCCTGGCTCAAGTGCTGGCGAGCCCCGCTCCCTGGCGTAACAAGCGGCCTCAAGCCTAAGGCGATCCTCCTGTCTCTGCCTCCTTTTACTAAGCAGGCCACTGGGCAAGATTCACGCAGCCGGCCTTTCTTTCCCATTCTCAGCTGGGAAGGCTGTCGGGGCCCACAAGCTGGGGCGAGGACAGCCCCACAGACCTCTAAGGCGGAGGTGGAGAGGAGGTGGGGACTTCCACTTCCTGGAACGAAGCTGAAGCCAGAGCCTGGAGAGGCCTAGGCCGGCTCCCCGAAGTGGGTCAGCAGGTGGCCGAGGCAGGCTGGAGCCCTGACTGCGGGACCCCCCAGGCTGCGAGCCTGGGATCTGAGCGGGCTGTGCCAGCCCTCCCGCGATCTCACTTCTTCAGCTCTCAGTTTCTCTTTCTGGTGAGAGAAGCTGGTTTTTCATTCTTGGCGCCTGGAAAGTTCCCTTTTGCTGTCTCTGTTCAAGCAAACACAGGGCTGTCTGAGGGAACAAGAGTAACACCCATAGGGCGTGGTTCCGTTGATTAGTTTTGTGGTACTTGGGGCTGCACCTAGGGCCTCTGCACTAAGTGACACTCCTAGAAATTGCCCAGACCGGGCCTGAACCTGCAGTCCAGCCTCAGCCTCCCAGAGTGCAGGCATGACAGGCACCACCGCACCCTGAGCAGCTGCTCTTTTGTTTTGTTTTGTTGAGACAGGGTCTCACAGCCCAGACTGTCCTTGAACTCAGGGGATTCTCCTGCCTTAGCCTCCTGCGTGCTGGGATCACAGATGAGCCAACAGAGCAGGTCAGGGGTGCAAGCACCTGCCTGGCAAGTGCAAGATCCTGAGTTGGATTTCTGGTTAAAAAAAAAAAAAAAGTCAAAGCCAACTGAGCATCACTTTTTTTGGCGGGGGACACACCCTGGTCATACACACAGTAAATGGTCAGTGGAGCATGGCCGAATGGATGAATTTACGGGTGCCCAAGACTCAGGGCAACAAACCACCCTCTGAAGTTGGTCTGATAAAACATAGTTAACCATGCCCTGACCTTCGGAGTTCCTGGGACCCCAGTATCTGCCAGTGAGAGGGACTGATCCCGGCTGGACACGCAGCACGCAACGTCCAGGCCTCGTTCTGTGGGGCCCCTCTGCCCAGCCAATCAACAAGTTTGAGACCGAGCTGCCCTCCCCAGCCTGGGTGAGGTGGGCCACCGTAGCCTTCAGGATGGATGGGGAGGGACAGTGGATCTCTTATAGAGCAGGCTCGTCCAGGCTCCACGCGAGTCCATCGCTGCTGCGTGGGGTTGGCCGCGCCTCTGTTGCCTCGTTTGCCAGCCCCAGTACCATGCCAGCAGGCAGGCTCCGGTCGCCTGTGAGCCGGCGCACACCTGCGCTGGTGGGGACTCTGCTGCTGCTGGAGGCGGCCAGGGCGGAAGCAGGCGCAGGGGGAGGCGCCGGCCGTAACCCGATCCCCAGGAATGCGCCGAGGCGGACGCGCCGCCCGCAGGTCCTGCAGCTGCCCCAGGAGGGGCCCCACGCCCGCCGAAGCCCTGCGCCGCTAGGATCCCTGCTTTGTAGAGCTGATTGTGGGTTTCTGGGCCCCGCGATAAAAGACAGAAGGCCAAAACGACTCACAGGTGGCTTTGTTTGGGTTTTGGCTTTTTGAGACAGGGTCTCGGCGCCTCGTAGGCCCAGGCTGGCCAGAGGACGATTCTCCTGCCTTAGCCTCTTGAGTGCTGGGATTACAGGCCACACCTGGTATAGGGAGAATTTGAATAAATTAGGGCTCGATACTTCTTTTCCTTAATTATTACTTAGTCAAACTTTCTTTGGTTCTGTGTTCTCTCAGTTTACAGCCCCTTGACTTAATCACTTGGTAAACTTGTACTCATCTTTTAAATTCCTGATCCAACCCGTTTCCTTCTCCAAGAGGCCTTCCCCTCCTGCGACTTCCCAGGGACCCCTTCAGTTGGCAGAGCCCTGTCCTCACCTCCATCAACATGGTTTCTTTTTTCTTTTTTAAAAAAGTTTTGCTATGTAGTCCAGGTTCCCCTTCAACTTACTATATTGCCCACGCTAGGCTAGAACTGAGGGTCTTCCTGCCTCAGCCTCCCAGTGTTAGGATGACAAGTGGGAAGGTCCCACTCTGCCAACTTGTGTGGATGGAGAGGGTCACTACTGACCCCAGCAGGGTCATTTGCTTGTTTTTCTCAGCCAGAGCCCCCGGGACACCCCACTCCCATCCCTCCACCTGTCCCATTCCTAACTCCACAATTCAGTTTAGAATTTTTTTTTTTTTTGGTATCAGAGAGCAAGCTCAGGACCCTGCGCCTTTCAAGGAAGGCGCTTATGCTGCTGAGCTATCCCCAGGTACCTAGACTCCACAGTTCAGGAGACAAATGGGTCCAGCTCTGTCCTCCAAGACTGGGGGCTGCTCAGAGCCAGGCCAAACCCACAAGGGGGCTGCCAGGAGGCTGAAGAGAGTGGCTTGATATCCTGATCTGGAGGGGTGCCCCAGGGAGGTGCTGGAGGAAGGAGAGGAAGCTGAGCAAATCACCCCATAAGGGTCTCGGAGACAACAGGAACAGCAATGAACTAGCAGTCACCTCGTCTCAAAAGGCCAAACGTATAAAACAAATGCAACCCCCCTGCACAGGACCTCCCTCTGCATTGCAGGCTGGCATTGCAGGCTGGTCTTTTTTTTTTTTTTAATTATTCTTTATTAATTTTTTTATTTGTTTGTGTGTGTGTGTGTGTGGCCGGCTCAGCCCACCAGGGGGCGGGGCTGGCTGACATGTGGTGCTGGGGGATTGAACCGCGGTCCCTGTGCTTTGCTAAGCTTGTTCCAAGTAGGTGCTTTAGACCACTGAGCCATCTCACCAGCGCCATGCAGGCTGGTCTTGAGCTCACTTTGTAGCTGAGGCTGGCTGGTCTCAAACTCACAAGGATTCTCCTGCCTCAGCCTCCCAAGTGCAGGGATGACAGGCCCAGCTTATACACTCCATTTTCATGAAGGGAAAAGCAAGGTTCAGAGCGGTGGCCAGCTCTCGAGAAAGGTTCTCCTTCAGTTGGGGCTGGCTGCACCTCCCCCACCGGCTAAGCCTAAGGGCATCTGGGCTCGACAGGGGCCCCAGCGCTGGCCTGGCTGAAGTCACTGGGGTCCTGTTTAGCTCCGGGGGTGGACGGCGAATCCCAGGTCTCCCTTCTGAATGACTGCTCCACTACAGCGGGTACACAGCGAGGAATGCAGCCCTGTGGCCTCCGCAGCGCAAAGGCTCTGGGGTGGAGTGGGGGGGCAGAGGCCAGGAGGGGCCAGGGGAAAGGGTGGCTCTGCCACCCTGCTGCACGGCCAGCTCCACGGCGAGGTGTGGGGGCCGTCCGCTGTAGGAGGCCAGGATTTCAGGCCCAGCCACCGCCAGTCCCTGCCCGCAGTCAGGCAGGAAGGTCGGTCTACCCCGCAGGGCCTCAGTTGCCCAACCTGTAAAGGCAAAAAGTTAACTCTGGGGGTCCGACTTCGCCTGGGCAAAGCGGTCGAGACCCGAAGAAGACCCAGCCTACTCCCTGTGCCTCTTAAGCAGCAAAGCCCCCAACCCCAGGCCAAGAGAGGGGCAGATCTATGCCCTAGGACCCAGAGTCCCAAGGCCTCCAATCGCGCCGCGCTGCCGCTGAAGCCGGGAGTCTTCATCTGCCCGGACCCCATCCCCCTCCCATCCCTGGAGGCCGGCGCTACCCCGCCTCCGCCGTCCGGGCCCCACGCGTGGCCACGGGGCGGGGCGTCAGGAGGGCGGGGGCCCAGCGGGCTGGCGTCTGGTGGCCGGGCGCATCACGCCACCCGGGACGTGCCTTGGCGGGAGGCGGCGCCGGGGGCAGCGATAGTACACAGCACTCCCGGGGCTGGGTGACCCGACCTGGGCCTGTGGCCCGCCCCCATGACGTCAACCCACAAGGCAGTGCGCTGTTGTGCCTTGTACCGCGCGTTGCCAGGGCAACGACAGCCTGCTGGCGTCGGCGGCCCAGCTCCGCCTCTCCATGCAAATGACCGACGTCACCCACACCCAATAGCGAGCAGGGACGGTGAGCTCATCGCGCAGAGCCGAGGCTATAAGGGGGCGCCCGTATCGCGCGGCGCAGGAGCCGCCGCCAGCGGAAGGCCGGGCAGCGGCCGTGGCCGGGGCGGGCGCAGGCCGAGCGGACGGGGGGGGCGCGGGCCCCCCGGGAGGCCTCGGCCACTCCCCCCCGGGCCGGCGCGGCGGGGGAGGCGGAGGATGGAAACACCCTTCTACGGCGATGAGGCGCTGAGCGGCCTGGGCGGCAGCGCCAGTAGCAGTGGCGGCGGCAGCTTCGCGTCCCCGGGCCGCCTGTTCCCGGGGGCGCCCCCGACGGCAGCGGCCGGCAGCATGATGAAGAAGGACGCGCTGACGCTGAGCCTCAGCGAGCAGGTGGCGGCGGCGCTTAAGCCCGGGGCCGCGCCGCCTCCCGCCCCGCTGCGCGCGGACGGCGCCCCCAGCGCGGCGCCCCCCGACGGGCTGCTGGCGTCGCCGGACCTGGGGCTGCTCAAGCTGGCGTCGCCCGAGCTCGAGCGCCTGATCATCCAGTCCAACGGGCTGGTTACCACCACGCCGACCAGCACGCAGTTCCTGTATCCCAAGGTGGCGGCCAGCGAGGAGCAGGAGTTCGCCGAGGGCTTCGTCAAGGCCCTGGAGGACTTGCACAAGCAGAACCAGTTGGGCGCGGGTGCCGCCGCCGCCGCGGCCGCTGGGGGACC